TTACCCAATCTCAATTGAAAGAACCACATCTCATGGATAGTTTTACACGTTACTATTCAATAAGCCATTGAATGTTGATCTGTGTTCAACACATGGTTATTTTATTCATAACTTTACTTACGAGTTGTATATAATACATAATTTAGGCATTAGTAACTTGTTATGGATGATCGCATTTGTTTCGTGAATAGGGCAAACGAACGGCGGCGATAGTCACTGACCATCAGAGACCCAAGTGCGAGTTTATTTCACATCTACTCGACCGTCACGGTGACCGCGTTCGACGCACTACGATTGGCCCGCACTGAAATCTCCACCGCCGAACGCGTATGTGAAATAAACCTGCACTAGGCCCTCTGATGACCTGTATACTTGCCTCTTTGTCCCGTATATTATAAAAAATATATTTCAATAATATTATAAGTGCTAAGATTATGAATTATTATGATTAAGAATACGGAATGTCACCACCCCTATTCATCCCGTGGGTGTCGTAAGAGTCGACTAAGGGAACAAACTACGCAGGACAACAGCACTGCAAAGAGAATTAAAACTTGAAACAAACCTTTTTTTTTTTTTTTTTAACGTGTGGAAATCCCCTCGGACCGTCACCCCACCGGGGTTTGCGGCGGGGTGGTGTGTCGGATTCGGACCGACTAAAACCACACGGTGTGCCACTCTGCGCCTGTAAGAGGAGGGATCCGGGAACAGCTGTTATTAAGACATCCGGACCCCTCCTAGCGCCAGCCCGCTCCTGGTGCGGGCTCCGTCTCAATATTTTCCTCTCTTTAGGCGACGTCCTGCACACGCGGACGCCGCCCCCTCGCGGCTGGCCAAACTAATGCGGGTGGAGGGGAAACCCACCCCGTCCACCTGCGGCCACACTCAGGGCGGCATGAGGCGGTGATAGGCTCGCCTCCGCCGCCCGGTTCGCCGGCGGCGGATCGGGTCCGAGTGGAGCTCGTCCTCCCGGGGCTTCTCCGCCGCCTCCTTCTGCGAGATTACTTCCTCGCAGAAGGTTGCGACCGCGGTAAAACAACTGTCGCTACCGGCCATGGAGCGTACTACGGCCGGTAGCGAGAGATCCACTCCGATGACTGCAGTGAGGGCCCGGCGCTGCGTCGCCCATGCGGGGCAGACCGCCAGCGTGTGCTGGGCCGAGTCCTCACTGCAGTCGCAGTGGTGGCAGGCGGGACTCAGTTCCCTCCTAGCGACCGAGTGCAGGTACTTTCCGAAGCAACCGTGCATTGAAACAAACCCTATACCAACCCGTCTGGCCAGCGTGGTATAGTAGGCCAAACCCTCCTTTCTAAGGAGAGGCCTATGTCCAGTAGTGGACTGTTATAGGCAGTTGATGAAGATTAAATACATGTGAAAATGTGAGTTACCGAGTTAAGATAAAACCAGTTTGCCGTTTAACACTATTATGTGCAAATGTTAATGATTTAATCAGGCCTTCTACGTCCCAACTAGCTACTGTCAATATTAATGTTATATGCTAATTCGATAAATCAATTTCAAGTGAGTAAACCAAGCAAAACGCTTCTACTTATAATCGTGGTAGTTTTGCAATTCTTGTTAGAAACTTTAATATTTACAATTTATTATAAATGTATCATACTAAAATCGTATAGGCCCGTCTCAGTTCGTGTGATGTATTAACTAAGTTTAATATAAATAAATAATCGATATTAGTACAAAAATTTAAAAAGTGTGGGGCCCGTAGCTACGAGGTAACCGAGTAGTTTAACACATTGCAAAGTACAGCAATCCTAACTCAAACTCAAACTCAAACTTTCTTTATTTCATAAAATTTTCAAAATTGTTTGAAATCGTCTTCCATGTAGACTCTAAAGTCATAGATCAACACACACAAAAGCAACAATCTCTGTTTTGTCAAATAGTAACCAAATAAATTTAACAAAATCAAACCCATACAAAATCTATGATATGCCTGTGCCGATCTACAACCGCCCGTTTCCAAGGGGTTGAGCCTTATGAGAAGAAAGGGCAAACAAACTCATGGCCACTCTTTTGCAATTCACAAGTAGATACAATGGCACTATTAAATATATCACAACATTGTTTTGATGTGTGCTAGTATGTCCGTTATTAAGGACTTAAAGGTGAAAAAACAACGAAGAGAAAACAAGATTAAGAAGAACAAACGAATACAAGAGAAAATGAAGTGAAACATAAAAAATAGAAAAAATAATAAAAAACATACTAGCCACACCACATTTTTACTTAAGAAAGAAATAGCCTGCGCTAATTAATCCCAAGCATTCTTGTCCTCCATGTAATCCACAATCGAGTAGTAGGCCCTCTGGCACAAGCCACGTTTTATTGCGGATTTAAATTTGTTAATACTCAACTCCTGAATATTATTTGGGATTTTATTATAAAATCGGACACATTGACCTCGAAAAGACTTGTTTATCTTTTGGAGCCTAGAGGCGGGTACAACAAATTTATTTTTATATCTGGTATTTATGGCATGTACATCACTTTTTTTCAAAAAGCTATCTTTATTTTTGTGAACATATATTACATTTTCATAAATATATTGACTTGCCACTGTCATTATATTTATTTCTTTAAATTTCTGCCTCAATGAACAACGATTGCCTAAATTATAAAGTGCTCGAATAGCTCTCTTTTGCAGCACAAAAATAGTTTGAATGTCGGCAGCATTCCCCCACAGCAGAATACCGTACGACATTATGCTATGAAAGTAACTGAAGTAAACAAGTCGTGCTGTATCAACATCAGTCAACTCTCGGATTTTCCTTACTTCGTATGCTGCTGAGCTGAGTCTACTCGACAATTTATCAATATGTGGGCCCCACTGTAGCTTAGCATCTAGTGTTATACCTAAAAATGTCGTAGTGTCCACAAGGTTCAGCCCGACATCCTTAATTATCACAGTAGTTTTCACTGGCTTGACGTTTGGCATAGTGAAACGTATACACTTAGTTTTTTGTTCATTTAATAGTAAATTGTTGACATCAAACCAATGAACCACTTTCGAAATGGCGCTGTTTACAAATGTGAAATCAGAAAGTGTCCGTTTTAGTCTAAATAATAGTGATGTATCATCTGCAAACAACACAATCTCGAGATTGTCCTTGACAAAGTGAGGTAAGTCGTTAATATATACTAAAAACAAAAAAGGGCCGAGAATAGAACCCTGTGGAACGCCCATTTCTATCACAGAGCCTGGAGACCGCTCACCATTAATATCAACTTTTTGAATCCTATTACATAGATATGAGGCAAGTAGTTCCAGGGCTTTATTTTTGATACCATAGTGCTGTAATTTCCTGATCAGCGTTTCATGAACAACACAATCAAAAGCCTTAGATAAATCGCAAAAGATACCTAGAGAATCGTGGGCATCCTCCCAGGCATCAAATATATGTTTTACTAGCTCAACACTAGCATCAGTTGTGGAGCGACCCCTTGTAAAACCAAATTGTCTATTGTGCAATAAATTATTATTATTAAAAAAACTGTGCAATTGATCATACATAATTTTTTCAAAAATTTTACTAAATACTGGTAGTACTGAGATAGGTCTAAAGTTAGTTGGGTCAGATGTACTACCAGATTTGAATAAGGGAATAATTTTACTAGACTTCATAAGATCAGGAAATACACCACTATCAACACATTGATTAAATGTAAATGACAATTGATTAGCCACAAGAGATATAATTGTCTTAGTAATTAAAACAGAATTTCCCCATAGGTCGGTTGTTTTTTTAACATTAATAGTGTTAAAGGCTTTAATAATTTCAAAGGGGGACACATATTGGAACTTAAATTCACTATCAATTCTTCTAACATTCTCTTTTAAAATTGATTCTGCAAGGTATGGTGAGGAGTTCAAAGATTTAGTAGTTGATACAGGAATGTTAGTAAAAAAATTCTCAAATGCAGCAGCAACCTCAGCATTTGATGTGATAAATTTATTGTTTATGTTTAAATTAAATTCATTATTACGGTTTGGATAGCCAGGTCAGTTATGGATGGGTGAGCATTCTTAATACATTGAGAACCCTCCGTTCCTCGGAGAGCACGTAAGGTCGTCGGCCTCGGTTGCCATATAAACATCTGCAGCAATCGTTACGGGTTGAATCCCTAAAAAGTCGAACAACAATCTTCCTACAGAAATTCGATATCGCCTAGTACTTGGGTTGTGGATCTCCGATGGCAGTCGCTCCGCTTAAAAAATCAAGGTTTAGCCGTATCGTGGTATAGTAGAAAGTCGACCCTAGCCTAATTCGGGAAATAATCTCGAAGGAACACTTAACCAGGTTCTCTCTATAGAATTCTCGTCAACAGACATTTCGACTTAAAAGTATGCAACCCACACCTAATTGAGCTCCCGAATCTATCTATTACAGTCCTTTCTTACCAGTTTTCCCTTTCAAAAATACTCCCAAATTTGTCTAATTATATTTCCCGAAGTTTTACGGCAATAGGCTTTGCTCTTTTTAACATACGTGAGTGGGGCCAAATTAAATTTAGTCCCTAAATACACTCAAGTATTATTAGACTGTACTGCGAGTCTAGTAACTATTAACTAAATATGTATTTATGTTAACATAATTAGTACATTAAAAGCTGACATCAGGTACATTTTATTATAATCGAATGAGGTCATTCATAGCTTGGTTTTATATTAATGAAAAGCCCAAAATCGATCTAAGTGTAGTGCAATGAGAGAGGCCCAAATCCAGCGGTGGACTGCGATAGGCTGATGATGATGATGGTGATCATGAAATACTCGTTGAAACAAATATATTTGATATAAAGTACAAGGACCAAATATTTTATGAAATATTTGTTGTGAAACGAAGTTATATGAAACTTTTGTCTACGAAACAAGGAACCACTCCTATTTTAAGTATGGTATCAGGCAAATATCCCTGTCTTAGTGATTTCCCAAGCAACAGAATGAACTTGGGGTGCGTAACCCTCGTATTTTCGAGGTGATGCTATCTCAGACCCATCCAAGAGTTACGGTATCTTTTACCCTAGATCACTCAGATGATGTAACGAATCAGTGTAAATTACAAGATGCATAAACCTACGTGCGTTATTTAAAATCCAGATATGTGTAGTCGTACTGTAATACAAGACATGATTTTTGGGCGAGTTTGTCTCACATCTTATTTAAGAATGCAGCTAAGTTAAACTGCCGAGTGCGTTACATCATCAACAACCTTTAGGAGTCTAGCATTTTTACTAGAATTTTCAAAATCGGATCAGTACCGGAGATTACTCAGAACATAAAAACTCACAAACTTTTACCTCTTTATAATATTAGTAAAGATATCTATATCTTGGTCATCTGAACATTCATTGTAAAGTCTATTAGTGACCATAATCTTAAATTTTACTAATACAAACTAGGGTTTTTACCAAGACGAGATCGACCATGTCTCTGTTAATCTAATTTTATTTGGCATTCTGATATCTGTATATCAAGAATGTAGGAATTGTTCAAGTACCAATAATTATTTTGTCATTAATATAAAAATTGTGCTGGAGATGACCCCACTAACGACCGGCCATTAATATCTTACACGTTTGTCAACCGCATGTAGGCGCAGTAAGGTAGATCAAAATTTAGATGCGATAAAAACAATAATTTTAAGTAGTTAATGAGACTGGCTAGGTTCCGTCATCAGTTTGCAGCAGAAGGTCAGGTGAATATATTATCAGTTGCAAATGGATAAGAGACTGTAGAATTTAGTTCCATTTGTACTCCGATATCTCTGTAAGGTGTCTTGCTTTACTGAGATAACAAATAGGCCTCATTATTAGCTCCGTTAAGTTTTACATCAACGTAACATACATTATAAACATTGCAGCTGTTTGGAGGCCGGGCGCGCCGCCGCCAACGTGTGGCAGCGCGCGCAGCCCGGGCGCACCACCGCCGCCGCCGCCGCCACCCCCAGTGTGGACCCCCGGCAGTGCAAGTGCTTCGCCCTTGACGCCGCGGAAGAACTTCCATCCTGTCCATTTCGAGGAAACTCCTCCCGCCCGCCGTAAATTTGGGGTAAGATTATGACTAAGACCCACCCGAAACTTAACATGTATTAAAAGGTTTATAGGGCCTGGTGGGGGGGAATAAATAAGATGTGTGGGCCTGTTGGTACAGTGGCTAGTGATCCAGGGTACTAGGCCAGAGGTTAGTTTCGTTAGTTTACATCCCACCAAAAACACAATAGACCACGACCTATTTCTATGTGTAATTTAGTAATGCATAAATATTTATCAGGAGTCTGGTACTTATTAGACGGTAATGAGTGAGGTGCCACAATAAAAAAAAGATTAACATACATTTTCTATTTCATTGGCACATTGTAAGTACTGCCGTCATCATCATCATCATCATCATCAACAGCCTTTAATAGTCCGTCAGGCTAACTAAAATATCTAACAGTTCTACCACTATAATTTTCTTGTTCTATTGAAAGTTTTTTAAAGAGGTAATTTAAAAAGTGCTACTGAAAGGAAATTACTTATCAAATGTTGCAAACTGTTATGAAATATCCCACAAGTAGCTTTAAACTAGGGACCTATCATTAAAGTCTATAATCTAATAAGTTCGTTATTTTATTGATCATCATCTAAAAAGCGGATTACAACCTAGTTCACAACGAAATCACTCTTTTCTGCATCACCCAATGGTTGACTAGTAGAGAATGCATCATCACATCACATCAACAGCTTTTAATAGTCCAGTCCTGGACATAGGCTCTCCTTAGAAAAGGAGATTTGGCCTAATATACCACGCAGGCCAGACGGGTTGGTTAGAGGGTTTGTGTCATGCTTTTCTTCTTTTTGCAGTGCTGTTGTCCTGCGTAGTCTGCTCCCTCAGTCGGCTCTTACGACACCCACGGGATGAATAGGGGTGGTGACACTCCTTATTCTTAATCCGTCACCAAACGGACCTATTTTATTCAGTAACAAACTTTTTTCGGTAACTCAGTTCGTGTATCAAGGGGTTAAGCTGTCGCCATATCGCTATTAATATTACAAGTACATATTGAGGAAGGTGGGTAGTCGCCGATAGAAGTAACACCGGTCTCGTGTATAATTAATTCTTAAAAAATAATAAGTCTACATTTTTTTAAGTTTAGTAAGTGTTAACTTATTATATAAAGTGCAATAAATACTACCAATCATTAGTGGAACATTTTGTAAGGTGTAAATGTTAAAAAAAGCCGTGAAGATTTTTTACGTGCACACAGTGTTTACAACTTGCCACTGTTAATAACCGGATTGAGAATAAACAAAACAAAATAGTGCCAATTCTATTGAAAACTGTCTAAAATAGAACAAAATAATCAAAAACACTAATACAGAGCTCAACCAGTGATAAAAAAGTGAGAAATAAACTATAACAAGTGACAAACGTTCTTCTAACTAGGTGTAAAGAATTGGAAGAAATTCTTAATTCATGAGTCACACTAACCGTTCTACTAGTTTAAAAAATAAAAGCATTACCTTCTGAAGCAACATTTTGTTCAATTTCAATAACAGAGTCATGGCTAATACGTATTAAGTATAGACTTGAAAATAAATGACCGACGGTTCGAATCTCGGTACCGTCTTCACTTTTTGTGAGATATTGCAGCCTATTAAATATTTCTTATATGAAATACAAAGAATAAAGAACAAAAAGTGTCAAAAAAAGGTACTAACATTCTTTGACATCATTAATTTCAAACAATAACATCGAACGGAGGGCGCAAATACAATTACATACAGGTGTCATTAAATAGCAAAAGTACGAAAACCGTACAGAACCAGTTCTTTGAACGATCTCAGTGCAGACAGAGATAACAATAAAAGCGGAAGATCATCTATGTTCGACACGACCATAATGAGCATTCCAGATAGTTTGCACGATGATAGCAATGAAAGTGAAGCTAGGCTCACCGAACAAATTAAAACACTAACTACACAATTGATGAGTGCACATGAAGAGATTGAAAATTTAAATATTGAAAATCAGGACTTGAAAACAAATTTACAGAACGCGCTGAAAAAAATTAATTCATATAAAACAATTTGTCTAACACCTGGGCGAAAGAATACCGCGCCAGCTTCTTCTCGCAAACGTAAACCTGTAAAATGTGCGCAAGCTGAACTGTTGAATCACCATGAGCTAATAAACAGTAATCAAGTATGTAATGAAACGTCAAAGCATGATGAAGAGACGCAAACTACTGACCAAGCCTTATCACCAAGCGGTGACAAAAACCAAGGAAAATTGTTGAGAAAGGAACAAGAAGCAAACTCACTAGATGGCGTTACAAGTACCCAAAAAAATAAAATTTGCATTATAAGCAGTAACAATATCAATAAAATGATACAGATAGCGGAAGACTTTTTCTATAATTATCAATTATGTCATTATCTAACACCAAACTGTGGCATAAATAAATTAATTGATAACATACATTTAAAGCTAGAAGGTTTCTCCAAAAAGGATTTTTGTTTTGTTTTTGTTGGAAAAGAAGACTTTACTAAAACAAATAATTATTATAATCTGGTTGTCCGAATGAGAAAGACTTTAAGTAAAATAATTCATACCAACATAATAATATGTCTCCCTACTTACAGATATAACTCCATGATCTTTAATTGGAGAGTTGAAACCTTCAATAACATGTTATACCTAGACAACAAAACGCATAACTACGCTGAGTTGCTGGACTCAAACTTGGATTTGTCATGTGACTACAGTATGTTCCATAAACACACTGGCCATCTTAATAATAATGGGATGAGAAATATTTATAAAAACTTAAAGCTACTAGTAAGTGAATACCCTTACGACTGCATTGATGAAGATTTACAATGTAATGATGTTAATATAACGATGAAGGATTTTAATAGTACAAAAATGGCTGAAGACGGCGAGCTTTTTCGTTTATGAGACTGTTAAAATTCTTCATCAGAACATCGCTGGTCTCTTAAATAAGTCAGACTTGCTGACTCTGCACCTCCAAGAACTTTCAGAGAAAAATATGGACATAGATATCATATGCATAACGGAACATTTCCTCATGCTGGGACATGAAATACTCATTGCCATTCCAAACTATAAATTAGCGACCTGCTATGCCAGAAAAGCGAAGAAACGTGGAGGATCTTGTATTTTGATAAAGAAGAACCTTGAGTATAAAACACTAACAGACATCTCGCGGTATTCAATATCAAATACAATCGAATGCTGCGGTATCGAATTAATCAATCAGCAATTAATTATTTTGTGTATATACAGGCCACCGAGGGCTTCTAATCTGAATGTATTTTATGAACAATTTAACAGTATTTTAAAAACATTGTGCCTTAAAAAGGCTAGTAGGAAGATAATTGTATGCGGGGACTTCAACATAGACACATTGAAAGATAATAACATGTCACGTGATTTTAAATGTTTTCTCTTGGGCTACAATCTCAGACTGGAATTGCAACAACCCACTAGATTATGCAGTAATAGCTGTATAGATAATTTTGAACGTAGTTATCACTTAAAATGTAACAGTGAAGTAATTGATCTAGCATTGTCAGATCATACTGCACAAATCCTACAAGTCAAGGTTAATAAAACTTGTAGATTAAAATCATGGCGTATCAAAAAGCGAGATCTTTCACAAGAAAATCTTGAAAAATTTGATAAACATCTGCAATGTCTTACATTTTCTGAAATTTATAATACTGAAGATGCCAACCAGGCTTATGACTACTTTATAGAGCATTTTGGTTTATTATATAATCTATGTTTTCCTCAAAAGTTGGTCACTTTAAAAGCACACGCAAAAGCTAAATGGGTATCACGTGGCATACGTGTTTGTAGTAGAAAACAAAGATATTTGTTGTGGAAATATAGAAAGAATAGGACAGCCGTCAACAAAACAAATTTTAAAAATTATTCTTATCGCTTTCGTAAAATTATTAGGCTAACTCAAAAGGTACAAAATAATCATTTTATTAACACCGCTAGTAATAAATCAAAGGCATCATGGCAAATAATTAATAACAAATCACGCTACACTGAGCCCATATCACAAATAAAAGTAAATAATAACACTATAAGAGACCCGAAAGATATTGCTAATTACTTCAACAATCACTTCATTGACTAAATAAATAGTAATAAAAAACCGAAGGTCTTGGACATTAGATTGATTAATAATACTAACACAATGTTTATGATGCCTGTGATACCACAAGACGTTATGAGAGCAATTCAAACATTAAAAAATAAGAATAGTGTTGGCTGCGATGATATAGCTACTAAAGTAATAAAGTTTGTATCTAATTCCATTGTAATACACCTCAGTCACATCATAAATTTGTGTATTTGCTCTGGCGTATTTCCAACCGCGTTAAAGACAGTAATAATTAAACCACTGTATAAAAAAAATGACAAAGATAAACTTGAAAATTATAGACCCATAGCCTTCATTCCCGTGATTTCAAAAATTGTTGAAAAGATTATTTACCATTCCATTATGATTTTTTTAAATAAACATCATATTTTATGCGAAGAACAGATGGGATTCAGGAAGGGAAGGGGCATAAATATAGCTATATACGAACTTCTAAATATAATAGCCAAGCACGTAGATAAAAGAATACCCATATGTGCTATTTACACAGACATGACAAGGGCTTTTGACAACGTTGATCATGAAATTCTGCTTCACAAGCTCCACGTGTATGGTATCAGAGGTAATCTATTGAATCTCTTGAAATGTTACCTCAGTAATCGAAAGCAGTATACCGAAATTAGCAGAATCTGTGTCAAATCAAAACGAGAGGAGAAATACTTGTCTGAAGCTAGAACTGTCAAATATGGCGTACCCCAAGGCAGTGTTTTAGGCCCACTTTTGTTTCTGCTCTATATAAATGACTTGCCTCGATACGTCCATCACCCAATGGTTTTATTCGCAGACGACAGCACCGTAGTAATAAAATGTATGGACATCGATGAATATGAAAATGACATTAATCATACTTTAAAAGACATAATAAACTGGCTTGACATAAATAATCTATTAATTAATCTTAAAAAAACTAACATAATGCATTTTTATCAACGTAAACCAATACAAAATCTAACAGTAGAATATAATAGACAAGGTGTTGAACAAGTAAATGTTGCTAAATTTTTAGGAATATTGATCGACAGTCAGTTAACATGGAAACCCCAAGCAGAGGAGGTGTGTAAAAAATTAAGTACTTCTGCATATGTACTATTAAATTTAGCAAAAAAAGTGAGTATAACCACAATATTAACAGCTTACCATGGTTTAGTGGCGTCGATTCTGCGGTTTGGGATTGTATTTTGGGGAAATTGCACCTTAAGAGAACAGGTTTTTAAAGCACAGAAACGCTGCATACGGGCAATGTGCGGTCTAAAAATGACAGACAGTTGTGTGCCAATGTTTGAATCCCTAAAGTTGTTGACATTTCCGTGTATGTATATTTTTGAAGTTGCAGTCTTCGTAAGGGTTAACTTAAATTATTTTACATGTATATCAGAAACAAGGAAAGGACCGATTAGAAGTCAATATAAAAATATGTTGCAAGTTGGTGGTTATAATACTGCGTTACTGAAGAAGAATGTTTTCGGCATGGCTCCTGTTATTTATAACAAAATACCCAATGTTATAAAAAATGAAACATTAGAAACATTCAAGAACCAACTGACTACACTTCTGCTAAATAAGTGTTATTATTCAATTAATGATTTTTTGAATGATAAACTTTAGATGTTAGTTTTTTTGACATTACCTATGTTTATTTGACATTGAATTTATTTTCCTTCTTTCAATCAATATTGCTGACGTAATTATTTTGACCACTTTATTTATATTAATATTATAAGTTGTAATCATTCAAAAATTTATTTGTTGTTTTGAATTTATTGTTAATTTTTGATGCATTTTTAATGTTTGCATGCCTAGTCCAGGTAGATTGTATAAGGATTAGAAAACTTGTTAACATCACTATTTTATGTACCTACAATCAATGCAAATAAAATATATTCTATTCTATTCTATTCTATATATATCGTACCTATATGTACTTATTACAATTATTATTTTTCAATTAAAATAATGAATAACTTTTCCGATTTCAATATTCGCTCAAGATATAATCAAACTTCGGCTTTGATGTTACATTCTTTTTGAAATATGCCACAAAAAAAATAACTTTTTAAATAAAAATGTTTTGGGCTTATTTACTCAAATTTAAGGATCCTTAACTTTCTAATGGGTGGCCTTAAGAGTTTAAATCAATTACAATTAGGTATACTTATCACACAAGAGACATTTTTTAAGCTGCCCTGACAATGAAGAAATATTAGAACGTTTTTTGCTCTTACAATGACAACTTATGGCGAATTTTTTAAAAAAATTGGTAAATATCACGAAAAATATTGAGTATACACGCTAAAAGTTGCAAGAAAGGCATCACGTAAACAGATAACCGAACTAGGACACGCAGCAAATACTCGCGATTCTAAAGACCAGAATGACAACTAGGAAACAGCGACTGTGAAGTGAATCATACATCAAGTATCCAGTAGGGGAGGAGAGGATTTTAGTTATATGTGTACGCGAATAAAACTATCAAATTCATTTCAATCGACTAATTTTAATAACTAAATTGATGTCAATTTTACAGAAAACTGATATTGTTTTGATCTTAAATACCAACGAATTATAAGACTCATTTATGTCATAAGTAATTCAATTTTCACAGAACTTGGAGCAAAACGGTTGTACAAGTGGTTCGGAGAGCGAGGGTCGCTTGAGGACCTCTCAGAGCGCGCCCGTGACCGGCCTCAGCACCCTAGGAGGCGCCAACGTCACGAGTCGTCTGCCCAAGGCACAAAATCCTACTGTTACACTTTTACAGAAGGCACGAGGTAAGTTTATTTCGTTTAGATAATTATATTAATATACTTTTTAGTCCGAATTATAGGATAATAGTAAATGCCATTTTAATTATATTTATGTTTTTAATGTTTAGTAACTAAGAGCGTATTATGCACAAGACACTTTAAATTGATTACTTTCCTAACAAAGAAAAGTAATGGTACTAAGCTAAGTATTGTTTCCAGAAGGAAAAACAACACTAATTAAAGGCACCTACGACTAATAAACACTGGAAATTCCAAGATGTCCCTATTTATTTATTAATGAATTGCTAAGAATCCTAATGATTGTCCATATTGAGTTTAAATGCTTATTTGTACATGGGATATTATAAAGGTATCTGAAAACGTTAATATTTTAATTCTATTTTTAATAACTTGATTGATTAATCGAATTTTTCTAGTCTGTAGTACTGTCGCGGCGGATGTAGGAACCTCAACATATTTACTGTCCAAACCACACATGTCCGATAAATTGATACGTCGCGCGCGTCGCCAATTCGGTCTAGAAAATTCTATGAAAGGATAATAATAATTTATATAATAATTTTACGGATACCTAGGCTCGATTTTTTTACTTTTCGACAAAAAACTCAAGCGGCTTTTGTCAAAGTGACTGTTTTTTCACTCTTGTCCAGCCAATGGATAAATAATATATATGTTGACATTTTCTCTTTTTTAAATATAGCCATAGACCGGACGAGGGTGACAAAACTCACTACTTTACCATGAATTTAAATGATTCTAAGTTACTACCTATACATTCACAGTGAAAAAAGATTTATTTGTCGTGCCATTCCTGACCCTAATATATTGAAAATCCCATAACTTCAGATCTATGCGATAAAACGTTGGATACTGTTGTAAGATATATAGGAACGGCGCTTATCTGGGAAATAGATATATTGTTTTATTTCCTATGCAATATACATACGTCTATTTTCACTATCTCTTCATTTTCTCTTCAGTATTGATTATTGCTATTCTATACTTTTCTAGTTCATTAATATAATTAGAGTGATAATAATAAAATAAACTAAAAAATTGACCGAATTTATTTATACAAAATTAATGGCATATAGGATATCACTTATCAAAAAATCTACTAATTCGTGTAACGTGACATGACATAATGTAGTAAATTTTTTAATCAACTTCTAAAAGGACAATGTTCTGAATTCGACTGCTTTTTTTTACTGTGTTACGTGGTGTTTGAAATTCCAACATTGAGAACAATATTTCTAATTAAATTAGTTGTGTTTAAGGTTCATCATTTTAAATTAAAATAAATCAAGCTTTAAAGGCCGAAAATTAGTAGGTGAAGAAAGCAACTTATTACAAATTTCTCATGACTTAGGAGTATGGAATTCCCGGCTTGAATTATGTAATTAATTGTAATTATATTTCAAAGAAATATAAAATAGGCACGATTATAATCATAATACAAAGGATTGAGCATAAAGAGGATGGTCATGAATAATATTTATAATTCGTGAGCCGGCTTGACTTAATAAATTAATTCATGTTGACTTGAATTATTTAAGGTGAAGAAATTATTCTTTGTATTCGGCATTTGAGAAGATTAGTTAACTTAAAAATCTCCTCTACTGATAATTATACATACTTACTATGACTTGGTTGTAAAAAATATATATTTGAAATCCAATGTCAACCATAATTAGGAACTTTACCATATTTAGTGCGGTAATCGGGAGCTTTTTTTTTATTTTCTGATACTACCCACCTGTGGTTATATCGGACTCGAACCGACCAAAAACCGCACGCCGTCTTGGGTACCAGTAGCCGGGGAACCAGGTGTGCCCTGGGAAGTAAATCCCTGGAACCCTGACGGACCCAGGGCCATCTACGGCTTGTAGATGACCCCTCCTGTGTGGGAATCACTGTGTTCCCATTCTACAACAGCCCTTAAGGCAGCCCTTAAAATACTTTACTCTGTGGCGAGTAGGCGAGTAACCCCTATGCGTTAGGACGTAGCACCAGATCATACGATCTACGTCACATATGGCGTGATGTTCTCGACATGTAGGGGATAAGTACAGTAAGCCCCGCCTACAGCAAGATGACCGCCCATTTGCTATTATACTACCAGCGCGCGCGCAATATGGTGGACGCACATCTTTTGTTGTACGGCATACGCCCACGTTCAAAAAGTGCCAGGACCGAACCTTTTCTATGTTTATTATTATTAACTATTTTCGTGTATAAATACTGTGTCGCATTGTGTGAGAAACCATTCCGACTTTTGTTATCGTCTTGGTACAAAAATAAAGAATTGTTTACGTGTTGCTCAAGTCCTTTGATTATTGATAACAAGCCGATACTAAGCAAATATCCTTCGCTTCGCTAGTATTATAAAGTTATTACAAAGAACTGAATTAGGATAACAAGCTGTCAACAGTCCAGTGGTTCGGACGCCGACTGCACTGTGATAGAAGGGAGTTCGATTCCAACCTAATTCACTTCACTGGTGACCCACGACAACTAGTATTCTTTGAGTTTATTACTATACTATAACTCGATACTAGTAAATTAGAAACATGCCGCTTACTGGGGAAGAGGCAAACAAGGACTTTTTTATGGCCTACCGCGTCGGAGTGAAGGTACCGGTGTTCAACGCTGATGATCCGCTGCTGTGGTTCGCACAATTGGAAGGACAGTTTACCCTTTCCAATATCACTACCGACTCCACGAAGTTCTACTACGTGCTGGCACAGCTAGAACCCCAACATTCAGCAGAAGTACGAGACCTTATAGTATCTCCGCCCGCAACTGATAAATATGAGAAGCTGAAGACAGAGCTGATCAAGAGGCTATCGGCATCGCAAGAGCGCAAAATAAAACAACTGCTTATGCATGAGGAGCTCGGTGACAGAAAGCCCACACAATTTCTTCGCCACCTACAACAACTAGCTGGACCAACTGTTCCTAACGATTTTATCAGGTCAATTTGGTCTAGCAGGCTTCCGGCGAATCTTCAGACCATAGTAGCCATGCAAGCCAATTCAAGCTTGGAAGATGTAGCAGAGCTAGTCGACCGTATAAACGACATCGTACCAGTTACTGGTCAAGTCGCCACTAGCATGCCAGTAACCGGACAAGTAGCAACTGCACAGTCGGCTATGAGCAGCAGAGGAGGAGCACAGGGTAACACTATTGACGCTCTAACGCAAGCTGTGACCGAACTGACTCGCAAGATGGAACGCATGAGTACCGAACTACAAAGAGTACAGCGTTCTCATAGCAGAGGACCCAGAGGAGGTAGAAGTCGTTCCCGGTCACGTTCTAGACCCAGAGATCATCCTTACTGCTTCTATCACTACCGGTTTGGAGATCGAGCTCGCAAGTGCACACAACCTTGTACCTACAAAACAACAAAGTCGGTAAACTACCAAGGCAGCCATTAACGGCGGGACAAGACTGCCTAGCAATATCAAGCCGCCTGTTCATTACGGATCTCAAGACAAAAATACAATATCTTATAGATACGGGTTCGGACCTGTGCGTATTTCCGAGATCCGCTGTTCGAGAGCGTCGTACTACAACAGAGTACAAACTATTTGCAGCCAATGGGACAATAATAAACACATACGGTTTCATCTCTCTCACTCTGGACCTAGGACTTCGTCGCGCATTTTCTTGGCGATTCATCGTAGCTGACGTGACAAAGCCAATTATCGGTGTCGACTTTTTAGCTTACTACAATCTATTAGTCGACTGCCGAAACCAGCGTTTAATAGACAATCTCACTACGCTAATGGTCCGTTTACCTCAACACCAATCCACTGAAGCCATATCGTCTGTACGCACTTTTATAGACGGTAGCGACTACCACCACCTTCTGAAGGAATTTCCAGACCTTACACGTCCAGCGGGTAAGCCAAGTACTCCTAAACATAATACAAAGCACCACATTCGCACTACGCCTGGCCCGCCAGTCTTCGGGCGTCCACGTCGTTTAGACCCTGCCCGGTTAAAGATAGCGAAGAAGGAGTTTGAAGAGATGCTGTTGAATGGTACTGCACGTAAATCGGAAAGTGCCTGGTCTTCACCACTTCACCTGGCGCGCAAGAAGAACGACGGTTGGCGTCCATGCGGAGACTATCGCTCACTCAACGCACGTACGATTCCCGACCGATACCCTATTCGGAATTTGCAGGACTTTACACATCAGCTGGCAGGTACTTCAGTATACTCTACCATAGACCTGGTAAAGGCATACAATCAAATACCGGTCGCAGAAGAGGATATATCCAAGACCGCCATAACCACACCTTTTGGCTTATACGAATTCCCATTCATGACGTTTGGTCTTCGAAATGCCGCTCAAACGTTCCAGCGATTCATGGATGAAATTCTTCGTGGGCTGGACTTCTGCTACGGGTATCTCGATGATATCTTGGTCTTCAGCAGCAGCCCCACCCTTCATCAGCAGCATCTTCGAAAGCTTTTCGAAAAACTATCAAAATTTGGAGTCCTACTCAACACAAACAAGTGTGTTTTTGGTCAGAAAGAGGTAAATTTCTTGGGATTTAAAGTTTCAGCTAGCGGTATTCAGCCCCTGGATACGAAGGTTCAGGCCTTACATGACTTTCCAGCTCCCAAAACCGTCAAAGAGCTGAGACGATTCCTTGGAATGCTAAATTTCTACAGGCGTTTTATACCAGCTGCAGCTTCGATACAGGCGCCACTTCATAGCCTCTTGACAGGTCCGAAGATTAAAGGATCGCACCCAGTTGTCATGACTGAGGAACTACTGGTAGCTTTCGAAAGATGTAAGCATAGTTTATCCGAGGCCACACTCCTAGCACATCCTGACTCGCGAGCAGAGTTAACTGTGCAGACGGACGCCTCGGACACAGCAATTGGAGCAGTTTTGCAACAACGCAATGGTGAAGAATGGCAGCCACTCGCATTTTTTTCGAAGAAACTGAGCCCTTCACAAAGAAAGTATAGCCCTTACGACCGCGAGC